TTTTTTTTGAAAGAAACGCCCCCACCAGTGTTAGTGGTGCTGGTAAGAGCAGACACCAGTAGCACCTGGAGAGAGGCTCCATCTATTGGTGGGGAGCATCACCTGCTGGAAAGCGGGTCCAGCGTCCCTTATACAGACTGAATTTGGAGTACATCAGAAAAAATTATGGAGTGTTCCTGACAGCATTGATTGCCCTGGGATGCAGGGGATTGACTGAGCAGGCTGTTGGAAGGAAGGGGGAACCTCTTCACCCTGCATTCGGTGCCAGATACACAGCTAGACGCTAGCTCCTCCCTCCCCCAAGCCGTACTGAAACCATACTAGCATCTCCCCCCCCTTTAATCTCCGGAGGGCCCCATCATTCATTCTCAGGAGGCTCCATCTATTGGTGGGGAGCGGCACCTGCTGGCATTCTTGGCAAACAGAGATAGAGATGTTCCCCTACAGGCCTTCTATCGTGAGTCGTGACTCATGACGTACCCCGGAGCTGTACTTACACTCCCGCTGAGCTGCCTATTGAAGATCCCTAAACCGCTGGGCACGCTGCTGTCCTTCCAGCCTTGATTACCCTGAAGCCAGGGGATTGACTGAGCAGGTAAAGCCTACATCACTCGTACCACTGGAGACCTACGATGAAGAGTCCATAAGGTGGAAAGGGATCAGGGAAATCAGAAGGAGGGCGCAGAGGAAACGCCCCATCTACCGTGGTCCAATCGCTAAAGCAGATACCGTAGTCTCTTCTGAACACGTCTTCACCCCCTTCCAAAGACCTCCCTCCCTCCCAACGAACGTGGGCTATCTTGCCCTCCCTCCTCAGCCATTCCCTGGAAAACTGTCGGATAGCTTGCATTGTCTTTTTTCGTTCGAAACAGATCCAGTTTTGCTTTCACTCTTGGCCATTGTGCCATGAGTTCTTCATGAATACATTGCTTAACCATTTCAGTGACCTCTTCCCCCTCTATCCTGACACCTTCAATTGCGAGTATGCACCTTTTCCGCCAAAGAGAGCCCAGATGATAGCTCTCCTCCCCGTCGTAAACATGTTGTTTTCAAAACAACGGCCGTGGGGGAAAACCAGGCTTTACATAAGAGGGCCCTCCAGTCCCACGGCCATGTGGATGTAGTGTCGAGCTGTCGCCAGATCCTGTCCCACCATCGCCATGTCAGAATCGCCCCCGGGCATTGTAGAAAGATGTGCTCTATGGTTTCCGCGATCTTTCGGTGGGGAAAGGAGGCCAAACAGGAGTGACCCCATGGTAGCGCTAAGCCCTTTTGTTCCAGGTAGGTTCGATGAATTAGCCAGTTATTGGTTGGGAGGCAGCGGTGCTCTATATGCCACTGCAGCGAAGTCAGTTTCGCCGGTTTAGATCTCGTGGCCTTAAACCACCAGTACTTGACCCAGTTATCGAAGCCGAGCCTCCCAGCCCCCTGCGCGCGAAGTCCTACCGAACCGCCGTCGGTCTTTTTTGTTTTCATTTTGCCTGCGCCCTCCAGCCAATGCGGTCCGATACGCCGAAGCCCGAACGCCGCGGCGCGTTAACGGGGAAGCGCCGCGGCCGATAGCTGGGCCAAGTACTTGTGGTTTTAACCACCGGAGGGGTCAAACTGCGTCCCTTCCAACGTTCAGATGGGTTAGCCATCGCTCTCTCACAATTTCTTCCACATTTACCCTTGGTCTCGGGAGACGGTAGGCAGATTTTACTGACAAAGGGAATAAGGTCCTATTTAGTATTTACCCCCCATTTTTCTTGCCGGATTCCATTCCCATTCCTCCGGATCGAGAGGGAGGTTAGCAAGCGGGGTTTCAAGGAAAAACGTGAAGCAGTCCTCCTGCGAATGGAGTACCCGGATGCGGTGCAGATCTGTCTTCTCCCACCATTTCAGCACATCAGGGTGGTACCTCTTTAGCCCGTTGTCATGTTCCCGATGAAAAAGATTCACAACTGCTTCGAATCCTGGGTGTGTACCACCACCACGTTCCCCACGCTTTCTGGATCACCCGGGATAGCCACACAGTCCCCTTCTTGTAGACATGGTCCTTTGCGCAAGATGCCACCCAATCCAGGGGCACATAAAACATTAATTCCTCCAGTTTCTTCCCCACGTGATGGCAATGTTTTCGAAGAGGTTTCAACTTTTGTTCCTTTCGCCAGTTCTTTTCTTCCACGTCCCATATGTCCTTGATTCGTATCACGGTGACCCCCCTTTTGACCCAGCTGTTTCACGGGGGGGGGCGAACTGCAATATATCCTCTCGTACCAATCCGTGATGTGTATGTTCCCGAAGAGAGGTTGTCTTGCCACCTCCTCCCACCTGGTCGGCCTGCCCTTAGTCTGGTAGGGGGAGTTGGCGCCACGGGTATCGAAGTAATGTCACCCTGATCCATGATGGTCAGAGGTGGTAATGGGCAGAGCTGATGGCAGACTGCTAACTCTTTGGCAGTCTCACTGCATCTTATACAGATTTTCCAATCTTCAAGGAACTAAGAAGTTCTGCAAAAAAAAAAAAGAAGAAGAAGAAGAAGAAGATGAAGGAGAGAAAAGGAGGAGGAGGAGAAGAAGAAGAAGAAGAAGAAGAAGAAGAAGAAGAAGAAGGAGAGAAAAGGAGGAGGAGGAGGAGGAGGAGGAGGAGGAGAAGAGAAGAAGAAGGAGAGAGAAGAAGAAGAAGAAGAAGAAGAAGAAGAAGAAGAAGAAGTAGAAGAAGAAGAAGAATCACAAAGTTTACTATTGATGATAGGCATACGCTACTCTTTGGCCTCTCTTTTTAAACAAGTGGCTGCCAATGAGCTGCCCCTTTTCCAACCAGAAGCAGGGGTTTGGGCCCCGTAATCAGATAGAAACTCAACATACGAAGAAGTAGATAGGTTGCCGGACATGGTGTTCACAAATCGCCATCAGTGCCATGGTGTTCGCAGATCGCCATGTTTGGCAGTCTCAATACAATGTAGGCTGCCCAATTTTGGTCCTGCAACTCAGCTGCCTGGAGGGGGGAGTCCCTTTCCCATCTTTTGGTAATTGTACTGTTGATTTGGGCGGGCGGGGGAGGGGGAGGAGGGGGGAGGGGGTTGAAGCCACCCTATAAAGCATCTTTAGCGGTATATACTCCCCTAGTTGCATGGTTTTCTTTCCCCTTCCAGTCCATTCCCATTCGTCTGTGAAAGAAGTTAAGTTCCCTAGGACTTCATGATTAAGTTAAGTGCATGTCTTTCCGCTATTTTCCTGTCGACAACACAGGTATCTTAAACGACCAATACCTCCGAAAGTTGGGGGGCGTAACCAGCCGCGACAATGATGAACGGACGGGCCACAAAGGGAGCGCCCAAATTCATCCGACTAGAAACCCTTCTACTCATTTTTTTTCCGCGGCCGATGTATGGGCGTGAATTGCCCCTTGTCTAATTCAAAGCCGGGGATGTAGAAGGGGCGCTAGACCCGGTTTCCAGCAGGTGCAGCTCCCCACCAATAGATTGGAGCACCGGCAGATGGCCTGCTCAAAGTGGCTGCGCTCTTACCCACCTCCTCGAGCACGACCGAAACTGGATTTATTTTTTTTAAAAAGGAGGGAGGGGCACTTGCTGAATATGGCTCTTTTTTTGGGGGGCCCTCCGGCAAACTGGTCAAGAGGCCCTCGCGTTTTATGCCGACCAACCCCTTCAGGCAATTTGTTTGTAATCAATGCCCAATGCTTCTCCCCCCACGCATCGGCTATTTTTTTCCAGTCCCTCGGTGGGAGAGAGAGGTCCATTCTTCTCCTTTTTTTCTTTCTCCCAAGAAGTAATCAAAAGGCCTCTCTCCCCACTTGTCACTTTTTTCTCCCTCTAATTATTCCAATTTCCAACCTACCCCTGTTATTTTTTAATCAATGCCTCTCAATGCCTCTCTCCTGTCATGCCGATGTTTTTTTCAGGCCCCCAGCGGGCGAGAGGTCAATCCTGCCTCATTCTTATTTCTTCCCAGGAAGTAATCAAAATGCCTCCCCCCGACAACTCATTGCCTTTTTTGAAAAAAAAAATCTCAAATCCTTGTAAATGAAAAGCCGGGTCTACCTTCGCGAAAAAAAAAAAAAAAAAAAAAAGCCGGGTCTCGCATAACAGACCCACATGAGACCTGGCCAACCAATGGGACCCAGAAGCTGCGAGGGGACAGGCTGATGCAGACAGATCCGAGTAGATCCTAGCATGGTGGATACTTCTTTTGGGGGGGGTTTGTCCTTTTGTACTCGGTTTCATTTTCTTCTGGGCAGAGGTTGTCACGGTGCGTGAAGTGACCACCCAGATACTTGGAAGCTTTGTGCGCTCTTTCATGCAGTTCTCAGGGCTTTTGTCGTTTCTGAGTACGTCCTGGAGTCGTTCATATAGGGTCTCGCTCCAATACACAGCTTTGTAAATGTATCTGGACTCGGCAATAGTCACAATACGTTCAAGACATTCAATCTGTCAGGATGTATCTAGTCCAATGTCCGTCCAGATACATCTGGAGCATACTTGCAAGCAGACGTCGTACACGATTTTCCAGACGTCTGGCGCACGGGCCGGACCGTACTGTGCGGCGCACGAACCGTCTGGGGAACGCCCCCCCCCCCCCCCCCCCCCCCCAAAAAAAAAAGGCAGGGGTCGAAATGTCACTTCCGAGGCCCTCCGCCAAAAATGTTTAGAAGGCCAAAATTTTTTTTTTTGCGACCGCGCTCAAGGCCGGACCGCCAGGTTTCGAATTTTGGAAACCTGCTGTTTCTCGTAGTTTCCACTGTTCGTGGGCGTGGCTGGGCCTCTAGGGTGGGTGTGTGGAGCGACGGCCATTCTTGCGAGGACTGCCGTTGCCGTTTCGACGAGGAGCTGCCGCCGTGCTGCTGTCCCGCCGTGCTGCCCTGCGAGGGAGGAGCTTCTGCCATCGCCATTTCGACGAGGAGCTGCCGCCGTGCTGCCGTCCCACCGTGCTGCCCTGCGAGGGAGGAGCTGCTGCCATCGACCTCCCCTTCATCATCCTCACTGCCTCCTCCTCCTCCTCCTCATCCTCTCCTCTTGCTGGTCCTCCTCCTCCCCTTCCTCGTCCTCCATCTCTCCTCCTCGTCCTCCGTTCTCGTCCTCCTCCTCCTCCTCCTCCTCCTCCTCCTCTCCTCCCGCTGGTTCTCCTCTTCCTCCCCTTCCCCGTCCTCCATCTCTCCTCCTCGTCCTCCTCCTCCTCCTCCTCCTCCTCCCCTCCCTTTGCTTCTTCTCTCCTCCTCCTCCTTTCTCCTCCTCCTCCTCCTCTTCCTCCTCCTTCGTCATCTTTTTTTTTTGGGGGGTAACTACGGCGCTGCCACGTTTTCAGTTCTAAATCCACTTCAGGCATCCCTCGAATACAAGACATCCCATCCAACCCTAAAGCTGGGTTGGATACATTCACGACTTTCCTTGCTTTGGAAGTTGGAGTAAAATTTGCGAAAGCGTGACTGAAACGCATTTAAAACTGAAAACCTTGACAGTGCCCTACTTTGCTCTTTTTTTGTTTTTGTTTTTTTTTCCGTCAACGAAACTCAAAATCGCAGATCCCTTCGGCTTCTTTTCTCCTCCTCCCCCTCCTCCTTTTTCCTCCTCCTACTCCTCCTCCTCCTCCTCCTCCTCCTTCGTTATCTTTTTTTCTTTTTTTTCTTTTTCCGTCAATGCAACTCAAAATCGGCAGGTCCTCCTACCTCCTCCTCCTCCTCCTCCTCCTCCTCATTCACCTCCTCCTTCTCCTCCTCCCCCTCCCTTCTTCTTCTCTCCTCCTCCTCCTCCCCCTCC